ACTAAACCAATATTTTGATTAAACTCAAACCATTTATTACAATCACAAGCAGAAACAAAACTTTATATTTTGATCATTTTAAAAATGCAATCAGTGTCTTAATAGAATATTTACTACATGTTTAATAGTTTCTGTAACATATGTTCAACAAATATGTTAAACTTATTTATAAAAATAAATATAAAAAAATTCTTTTATAATGGTAATAAATAAATGAAATTTTAAAACAACGTCTTTTTAATGCAGTTTCACAGTGACAAAATACATCAAAAATTTTTTTGATTTTATATTATTTTATATTATACCAACAACTATATATTATACCAACGACTTTTTTTTTAATTATTTTATCGGTACAAGTACAGTTTTCATTTTATAGAACAAAATAGTGATTTGCTACTTAAAGCGTGGCTTATGCCAATGGCGTTGACACGGTCTTCAAAGTGAAGGGGTCAACTCTTCAATTTTTAAAATAAAATCCAAAATTTCTAAAATAATTGCCTATATTTCTAAAACAAAAGGTCCTTGCAATAAAAAGTGGGCAGGCTATGGCTCCCTTGACGGCCATGTATGCTTCGCTTCAATATACCAACGTTTTGAAATAAAACAACCCGTGTGACAAGTATAATTAGTTTAATAAGTGTGACAATTATCAATAATGTAATTTCCTTACATGTGAATAGATTAAACAATTGTTTCCTGGTAAGGAAAGAACTATTCATGAATTATTTCCTTGTAATTTAATATTACCTCAATTAAATCAAGTAAATATTTCCTTTATTTTTATACTTTTTAATTAATAATATGTGTCACTATGTGAAGTGGACTGTTATCAAGTATATCAAAAATGTATATAACTTTGTAAAAGGCTGATTTTGATTTAGTGAATTCAAATTTAGTGAATTGTCACGATGCGAAATTAAGCAAAGAATCATGATGAAAATCGAAAGTTTGTGTGCTTGCTCTGTCTGAAAAAATGTTTAAGACAGCTTACTACTATTCAAGCAGATCGAATATGCCAACTGTACAAGACCAAGATCAATATCAGTGATGCTCGGGTAACAAAAGGATTGTGCGAATCGTGTAGAATTACTTTGCACAGGAAACAAGAGGGGAAAGAAGTTGGACTCCCTCCTTTGTTTGGTTTTAAGTCAATACAAGTGAGACCTAAAACAAGAGGCATGAGGTGTTGTTGCCTAATATGCCGAATTGTTCGTTCAAAGCTGCAAGAACAACATCCTTTTATAGAGCAAACCACGATTGAGGAAAAACGTGCGTTGCAGCAAATGCCTCAGCCCTTTAAGAAAAGGTTTGTCCCATCAATGCTCTCAAATAATGTTAAGGAAAAACAATTAATCTTTAGTAGCAAAAGATGCCAATTTATCTGAACAAATTGCATCTCAATTTTTTCCAATAAAGAATTATCTCCGGAAGAAACTATTCTACTGGCTAAAGCCTCCGGCGGGCCTCCACTTACAGTTAACCCTGGTAAATATGTATGTTTTGGTTTTAGGTCAAAGTAGTGCGCAGACATCATCAAGTGCTCCGAAATTAACCACTGTAGCCCTTGTAAATGTGCAATTAAATACGGGCCTGTCAAACAATGGATAAAAAAACTTGTTAGAATTGTAAACAAAACACCAAGCAGCAAGATGGTAGAGCAAAATTTCTACATGAATTTTCTAAGACTAGGTCAACAATTGAGCGATTTCTTTACCTACCTAATCCTTCAAAAATAACAAACTCACAAATGCAACCACGCTTTCAAAATATATATGGGATACACAAAATAAAACAAAAACAACACCCAATTTAAAATGGTCCATCATAAAATATGCCCCCGCGTACAACAACATAACCAAAAAATGCTTGTTATGCTTATATGAAAAACTAATTATTTTATTGTATAAAAATCCTCAAAAATTATTAAACAAAAAAAACGAACTAATATCTAAAGGTCACCATGAGAACAAGTTTTTGCTGGACAACCACAAACTAAAAGATTAGATTTTTTAACTCATTTTCTTTTGTACAGATTTATTATTTTTACGAGAAAAAAAAACATATTTACACCTGATTGCATTTAGCATGAAACTAATAGTTGTGAAAAATATGCAGTTATATTTATAAATAATATATATATATATATATATATATATATATATATATATATATATATATATATATATATATATATATATATATATATATATATATATATATATATATATATATATATATATATATATATATATATATATATATATATATATACATATATATATATTAAAGATATATTTAAGTATAATCATATAATAAAAAATGTAATTTTACATTTGAAAGTTCTTTTACACTTGAAAGTTTCTTCCACATTTGTATTAAAAATGCGTTTTAAATTTACAAAAATAAATTTCTTGAAGATTGCGTGATTTAACTAAATTAATTATGATTTAATAAAGCATTCTGTATCTTTTTTGAAAGAAAAATTTATTGGAAGCGAAAAAGATGTTCAAAAGACGTTGAGAATTTAAATGGGACGGGCGGACGCTAATTGAACGTCCAAAGAACATCCATTTTACGTCCCGTGCCCTCTGGGTAGAACCTAAATGTGATTGTATTTAGATATACATCAAGAACTTAAGAGGGCCTTAAATGACGGTTGGCCCTGCTTTCATATTGTTTTTTTTTTAAATAATATTTAAATATTATCTTTTAAAAGATAATATTTAAATATTATTTAAAATGTAATTAATTTTATAAATAAAATTAATTACAGAAAATCGAATGAAAAATTATTTCTTTTAACCTAAAGTCACCGGCGTTTGAGTTAAAAAACATTTTCTTCTATATTTGACAATATTTGATTAATTTTATCATTGTCACAAGATTAGATAGTCTGGAAACGTACAATAGCTTTTTGTAGTATCCCTTTGTACCCGAAAAAACTGGATCCCAGATCCTTTGGAGTGCAAAACAGTATAAACATAATAATATATTCGTTCAGATAACTTCTGGTTAGTGTCTAACTTGTTCATATTCGTATGACTAAAAAGTTTTTGTTTTTTTCAAGTTGTCAAAATTTTTATCGTTGAATAATAAGATAAAATTTAAAGGTAAGCAAAAATATTTATTAATTACAGCTCAGTTTCTTAAACGTGTTTAATATACTAAATTGGAATTGAAATCTATTGTTGTTAATCTAGATTTATAATGCCTGGAGCAAACTGCTCAATATATGGCTGTGATAATAGCAGATATACAAAATATGCTGTTAGTATTTTTAAACTTCCAATCTCGAATAAAAGCGTACTTCTCTCAAATTGGAAAAAAGATATATTAAGAATCATTACAAAAGATATAGTCGTATCCCAAAATTTTAAAAAACAAACCAATAAGAGGAGTGTTTATGTATGTAAAAAGCATTTTGAAAGTTCAGACATATACACCTGTAAGTGTGCTAAATAGTTGTTGATATTTATTGAGTCTGGGTTACATTACATATTTTTATCAAATTTTAAATTACAGATAATAAAACAAGTATTATTTAATAAATTTTTTTAAAATTATTTTCAAGATCAACACAAAAAAGAGTTGAAAGAATACGCACTTCCAACAAAAACTTACCAAAACAAGTTTTTTATAAGATATCACTGTGCATCGTCAAAGTACAGCACTTCAGAAACGTGCTATAACTTCAGTATTACGAGAAAAAGAATTAGATAAAAAACTAGTTTATAACAATTTTGAAGAATTTCTTAAAAAATTTAAACAAGTTTTGTTTTCTAAGTGGATTGTAGAAATTTCTAAAAACTGTGTGGCATTTAAAGTCAGTGATGGAAAACATTTCATACCACGATTTGAGCTACATGTAGAAGAGAGTCTAGCTTATACTATTTGAGCTTGATCTCAAACATGATACCATCCAATGGTAACAAAGTATTCTTAAGCTATCTATGCAAAATCTCCAGCTGCATATGATCTTCTGCGTTTACAAAAAGATGGAAAAGGTGTACTTATTTTGCATTCTCAGCGCACTTTGAGAGACTATAGAAACTACACGCAATCATTTATATAATTTTCAAAAAGTTTAAATATATGTGAATTTAAAATTTTTTTAAAAACAGTTTCTTGGATATTGAAACATAAAGACTTTAAAGTTTTAAAACAAACTTTATGCATGTATCACACATCTCTATTATAGTTTAGTCAAGATTTGACAAAAAAAAGTACGAATAAATAATAAATATTTGTGGATTTGTCTACTCAATATTTAGTCATATTTTTCAAGCTTTTATAACTAGTTATTATTACTACAGAATAAAATTGTAACGATCATTGGTTATAAAAATTTCCCTTTTTACCTCAACCATATCAAGTAATATGTATGCACTAAAACCAATAAATATTTATTATGTTTGAAAAGTCTTTTTTACATCATATATCGATTTATCTATCAATCTATTTATTTTATATATATGTATATATATATATATATATATATATATATATATATATATACATATATATATATATATATATATATATATATATATATATATATATATATATATATATATATATATATATATATATATATATATGTATATATATATATATATATATATATATATATATATATATATATATATATATATATATATATATATATATATATATATATTTATATCTATATCTATCAATCTATTTATATATATATATATATATATATATATATATACATATATATAACATATATATATATATATATATATATATATATATATATATATATATGTATATATATATATATATATATATATATGTATATATACATATATGTGTATATATATATATATATATATATATATATATATATATATATATATATATTATATATATATATATATATATATATATATATAACATAATACAATTATTTTATAATGGCTTTATCATTGGGTTATAACTTAAGGAGTGTATGGAACTAAAAAAAAATGATAGATTTTTAAGAGTTTTAATATTTAAATAGTATGAATATATGTGTAAGGTTTTTAGGTTTTAGGTAAAATTGTCATTATTGATTGAGCTTTACTAAAACTTAGAAAGTTTTGCGAAACATTCTAAGTCCATTTAAAGCTGTATCGTCCATGTCGTCTTCGTGATCTTCTACACGTGTGACTAAACCTACAACAGCCATTCCATGAGGACAAGAGTTTATGGGTTGCCACACACCCTAATTTGTATAAACTTGTGCATTTATTACAGTTCCATCTCTACAATATAGAGCAAGATTGTTGTCAGCGGTGTCGTCATCACTTCCTTGTGCTGGTTCAATTAAAAGATTATACCCTGTTACTGGATCAGAAAATGAGGGGCAATATACATTAGGAGTCCACAATCCAAACGGTCCCTGTTTATTTGATATAACTGAGTGAGTCTGTCCTTGTTTGTTGTTGCAATATAGTTCAACAGCATTTAAAGCTGTGTCATCGCCACTCCCAAGCTTTGGTTAACTTCGAAGTCTCATGCCATAAACATATTGGTTCGGTGGACACATTTCTTTTTCTCCCCACGTGCCATAAAGTCCATCATTTTGTGTGCTCATAGTTAGACATATTTTATCACTGTATATTGAACCATATATCATGCTCAAAATAAGACCTAACCGACGGTTTGGGTAATCCATAGGGACAATGACTCCAACTTCTAAATTAGACTCAAAAAATTCTTTGATTACTTTGTTAGAAACTTGTGTGCGCTTGCAAAGCTTATAAAAAAAATGTTTTTTCCATAATTTTGTTTTGCAATTTCTAAATGCTGTTTAACCAGACGCGCTTTTTTTGGATAATCCAATCCTACCCAAAATCCGCAACCAATTATAGGTTTGCATTCTGTGTCCAATTCGTATTCATCTTGTATGTTGGGTTTGATAGAATCCCATAAAATCCCCATACTGTTGTCGTTGCCGTAACGGTTAAAAAGAACTATTTTCCCACGATCTTCATTCAATCTTGTAGATGGTGTGATCGCGTTTTGATAGAATTTATGATTAAAGTTCCGAAGGTAATCTCTCACAAGTCTTGGTATATCCAAGATATCCTCATCTTTTATAGTCATAAGAATAGTTTCACTTGGATTTCTATCAAGAAAATTGTTAACAATATTAATTACCAAGTTATTGAAACTACCTAACCTTAGATTTCCGTGTCGAATTTCAAAGTCATTACTTGCACCGTTATTGCCGAGACGAATATCAAGGAATCAAATCCCATTCTCTAATTGCTGCATTATACTCCAATCTTGAGTTTCTACGATATCTCCAGGTGTATTGTATGCTCCAGAATCATGAGTTCCAGGTATGGCCAATTGACTAAGTTTTTTATTTCCATCAACATCCCTCATCCAATTTTGCGTATCAAACGTTATCGCATAGCCTTAAATTCAAAAGTTATACATAAATATGTTATCAAAACTTGTTTTTTTTTTAATTTTTTACTTGTAACAGTTTACCACATTTATACACATAAAAAATATTCACAAATAATCACATATTTTTTTGTAATGGTCTAAAATATATGCCTCCTACCTAGAAGTGAGAGCAGGATATATGTTTCCATGTTTAATAATATAAAAATTATTTTCACAAGTTTCCAAATATAAAATTTGTTAAAGTAAATGATAGTGAAGATTAGGTGTATTTATATGTTTTATTCATGTTGACTTAAGTAGCTAAGCAGGATGTTTATCAAGAGTTAACATCAATTGTATCGATAGTTTGCTTTATTATTTGCTCAACAGGCAATGTGAATATCTTATTTAGATAAGAGAAAAAAAAAAGCATAATAACTATTTGATTAGGTTAACTAAAATAACTGAAAAACAGTTACTTTAACTAACCTCAAAATCTAGTTAACTCCTTAGTGCCCAGTAACCATATGGCTTTTCGCAGATTTATTGGCTCTATAAATCTCGTTAACTCGTTGCGTTGGTTTGACAAGGTTCTAATTGATCCGCGAGCAGTTTTGAGTAAATCCATCTAAAAGGTTGTTATGTTTTTTTTATCAAAATTTATTGAAATCCATTAGTAATAATTTTTACTCGTGATAACATAAGCATTTCTAATAGGTATTACTATAATTTTTGAAAAATCTTTTATTTTTCATAGGAAAATAAATACCCCAAAATACAGTTAGAACCTTGTCATAGCAATAAACCTTTTTCTCATTATGACAAGTTTCTAACTGCTGTTATAACGGTAGTTAGAAACATGTTAGTTACTTTTAAATTTTGTGACTGAAGCAGTTAGTTACTTTAAATTTTGTAACTGAAACAAAATCTTAATAAAAAGCTAAGTTTCATAATTAGGTTATTGCTTCAGTCACAAAACAAGGTTACAAAATTTTGTTAACTCATTTATATTCTTTTTTGAGCTACATTTTATTGGTACATTTAAAAACCATTTCATTAAGTACAAACCTCAAAGGTTTTTCATGGTATCTGTTTATTTTATAAGTGAAGAACAACTCAATAGTAATCTCTGTCCTCTAGAGATATAAGCAAAAACATCTTTTTTTTTTAGGTCTACAAGTTCCTTTGTACATTTTTGAATATTTGGTTTTACATTTAAAACAGTGGAAGTTGATAGACTTGTTGCTGCATTTTTTCTGTTAGGTTTTTCATTAAACTTGACATTTGCACAGTTAATAGGTTTATTGCAATCGGGGCTTGATTTAAACGTGGTTTTTCTTAGCCACATCACTTTAAGTTTAGCAAACGGCACTGGCAAGATCATCGCTGCTTCTTCTCGCCATTGATTCAGTCCATAATGCACAATACACTTTTTTGGTTGTGGAAAAGTAAACTGTCAAATTTTACACGCTTAGTTTTCTCACATAAAAAAGGGAACTAATTTCTGCATGCCGAGTCAAAATGACATTTTGAAGATCGAAAAGTAAAATGGAACATTTTTATCCTTTTTTTCTTCAGCAAGTATATCTTTCATTTTTTTTTAAAAACTTGATGTCTTTCAAAGTCTTCTCTCATTTTTTTAGACATCATATCAGTATTTTCAGCAACTTTAAACTTCTCACAATAGTTGCATTTGTTTATTTTAGGAATGTGAAAGCCAAGATTGAATTTTTTTGATGGCTCAATTTTTTTGTTTATACATTTCTATTTAAAAAGATTAAACATTTTTGAAACATTAAGATGTGACTCGAGGTAATTTCTATTGGTACTTACACAATTATAAATGTGACTCAAATGTGACTTAACTGATGGTAAAGATTTTATTTGATCCCTAGCTGAATTGGCATCACTGTGTAGTGTACTTTTGTCTTTCACATTTTTCCTTGTAGATCTTTTAAGGAGTATTTATTTCAACATCATATATATATATATATATATATATATATATATATATATATATATATATATATATATATATATATATATATATATATATATATATATATATATATATATATATATATATATATATATATATATACTATAGTTTAGATTATTATTTACACATAATTAATATTAATTTAAAGATGAATATTTAATTCATATAAAGATGTTTCAAAATTAATTTAAATAAAAATCAAATTGATAATCAAAATTAATTTAAATAAAAAAGACGGAAAAAACACAAAAAACAAACAGTTTTATTTGTGTTAATAAGGTACAATATTCAATTCACTACAAGAGGTAATCCACTGTTATTTAGGGTGGTAACCCTCTCAGTTTTCAGTTTCAGAAAGGAGGTAATTCACTATTTAGGGTGGTAGCCTTAAATAGTGACAAAGGTTATGTTGGTCATCAAATTATTCTGTTCTGTTCTGTAATCTTGCACAACAAACTTTATTCAAAATGAAAAAAAAGAGTATTTCTTATAAGTTAGATTCTTAAAATTCAAATAAACATTATATATATATATATATATATATATATATATATATATATATATATATATATATATATATATATATATATATATATATATATATATATATATATATATATATATATATATATTTATATATTATATGTATGAGATTTTTACTCCCGTGATTTTTACTCTCACTTTTTTTATTTTTACTCCCAAAAAATACTGAAGAAAATTTGACCAAATTCAATAATAAAATCAACCAAATTTAAGCAAAACCATTGTAGATACTTATGCTGTATAATAAGTTTTTGACAAACATATTACATAAACACTCCACAATGATACATCTCACATTTTAAATTAGAAGATTTATTAAAAATCTATAAAAAACTGAATACTGACTTTACACTCCCAAGGTGAGAGGGTTACCTTGACCCTTTAGGTCTTATCAAGAGAGTAATAATCATTAATTGTAATAATGAATTTGGATTTTCTTAAACAAGACAATTGGACGAAACTGGGTGCCGGTTTACATTCGCAATTAACTAAAGATATTTATAATTGGTGTAGCCAGCTTTCACATGCTTTTTTGGAACTCTTTGAACGATTGCAAAAACTAGAAACAACTAAGATTGAAAATGACAGCAACATTCAAAATTTAAAAACAGAAATAATCAAAGCAGCTAATTCAAACAAGTTTATCTGTGATTGGTCTCTTATTGTTAAACAGGGTAAACAAAAAATGAAGCCAACAGAACAACTAGTAGCAACAAATGTAGCCATTAATGAATTAGAGAAGAGAAAGAGAAAAGCAAAAAATGTTATTATTTATGGTGTAGATGAATCTGCTAATGAAAACATTAGCAGATTCAGCTAGAAAGAAATTTTAAAAAATATAGATCAAGAGAATGTTATACCAAAATTTATTAGACGGTTGAGATTTAAAACTGATAAACCAGGCCCAATTCTAGTTGAATTAACCAAGGATTTTCGTCACAATAAAATTTTAGGATCAGCTAAGAAATTGATAAGTAATGAGCTACATAAAAGTTGTTATCTTAGTCCAGACTTAACGGAAGCACAAAGGTTACAAGATTTCAATCTTAGAACTGAAAGAAAGAAAATGAATCAAGCAAGAACAGACAATGATCCCTTTCGGTATGGCATCCATAGCAATCAAATCGTCAAATTTAAAAAGAAATCAAATCATTAAGTTTCCTCAAGATTTGGTTTCAGATGGTATTGAAGTTGAAAAGCTGTTATGTTTATATTTAAATACACCTCTCTCGATAACAAATTAAATTAATTTAAAGTTAAGATCGAACAATACAAACCAAATGTAGTTGCTGTGACTAAGACTTGGTTCAATAACAATTCGGTGGTAAATGTTAAGGGTTTTCATTTGTATAGAAAAGACAGATTAGATGGCAGACGAGGCGGTGGAATGTGTTTATATATAGACAATTTAATAGACTCATATGAACTAAATGATGCAGGTCTAAACCTTTGCAAACCTGAACAAGTGTGGGCAGTAGTTTACTTTGATAAAGACAAGTATCTGCTTGGCTGCATCTACAGGCCAAATGATTTTATAGACATATCAGAATTTTATGTGGTATTCAGTTGTACACGTGAGTTTATTGAAAAAAATTAGTTCAAAGATTTTCTAATCATGGGTGACTTCAATTTTTCATCTATTAGCTGGGCAAATGGCTGCGTAGATGTAATTTCAAATAAGAATGGAATTGAATACAAATTTTTAGATATTTTAAATGAAAATTTCTTTTACCAGCATATCAACATACCAACTTTCCAGCTGTCAGACGATCAACTTATAAATACCTTAGATTTAGTTTTCACAACTCAAGTCAGCAAGTGTTAGTTTAATAGACTCAAAGTTCGTTCTGGGAAATATAAAGAGAGGTCATCTAATAATGTTTTGATTTTATCTTAGCTGATAAAGCAGTCAGTGTCTATAAAAGCAAGCAAAGATTTATGTTTGCCAAATCTAAGTTTGACAAAATATCTGATCTAATTTCAAATGTTGACTAGATAAGATGCTTTAGCAATAAAAACGTTCGGAAATGTTTGATGAACTTATTTATTACACAGAAGTGGCATGTAATCATTTCACTCCTACTAAAGTGACAATCAACTCTCTAAAATCTGACCAGCATGGGTAAATGCCAATTTAAATTTTCTTATCAGAAGCAAGCAAAATTTAAGATACAAAATTGCTCGTGTAAATGGAAAGACCCTGTTCTAAAATTTGAATACAAAATGATTTGCAAAAAAGAAGAGCATGAGATCAAAAAATCCAAAGCTCCTGTACAGCTACATAAACAATCAACGAGTAGTAAGAGATTCAATCAAAGCATTAAAAGGAACGGATGGTGAAACCACTTAAAATCCAAAATATATTACGGATATTTTAAACAAAAACTTTCGAGCAGCATTTGTGAGAGAAGACGATGGTCCGCTGCCTTACTTTCAGATAAAAACAAATGAAACGTTTATTATAACGACAGAAGATTTTAAATATGAAGATGCCTTTTTAAGATTAAAAAACTTGAAAGAAGACAAATCAAGCAAATATTACTCTTGCGTACAAAAAAAATGAAAAAACCTTAGCAGTAAACTACCGACCGATATCACTCACCTCAATTGCTTGTAAAATAATGGAAGGTAAAATGAGATGTAAACTTAAAATTTTTCTGAATGAGTATAAACTCATAGTCAAGCAGCAGCACGGTTGTGTTAAAAGTAAATCATGCACTACAAATCTACCACCAGTTTAGAAAATGGTAAACCTGTTGATGTTATTTTTTTGGATTTTGTTAGGGCATTTGACACAGTGCCCCATAAAAGGCTGTTACTAAAACTAGCAGTTTATGGAATATCTGGTCTAACAATTAAATGGACTAAAGCTTTTCTGAAAAATAGAAAACAAAGAGTTGTGCTAGGCGAAAACACATCTTCTTGGGCAGAAATTATCAGCGGTGTGCCACAGGGGTTCGTAATTGGATAACTTTTGTTCGTGCTATTTATTAACAATTTTCCTGAAACCTTAAAAAACATATCTATGCTGTTCGCTGATGATGCTAAAATAATGAATGAAATGATTTCCTACGAATCATCTTGATAGAGCTTTTAAGTGGACTCAAGAGTGGCTTGTAAAGTTCAATATTTCTAAATGTATGGTCATGCACTATGGGATTAATAACAGAAAAACACCACTTTGTTAATATACCGTAATATAATGTTAATATACCATGATCATTATGTTATTTGTAGTGTAACAACACATCCGAAAAGATACTTTACCAAGTGGACACGACAACGTCCATATGACGTCGAAATGACGTCTTTATAGGACGTCCGGAACTGGTTCTAAATGGCAACGCCAGATGAAGTCTTATTAAGACGTAACTAGGACGTCTTTTTAAAACAAATTAAAGACGTGTTTTTTGACGTCTCAAAGACGTGTATTTAGGACGTTCAGAACTAGTGCTAAATGGAAACCCATTTCTATTTCTAAATTCAAAAGATAACACTAGTGTAATTGATATGGGACAATTTAGAGTAAGTTATATTGGGCATAATAGCAATTCATTAGTGTTTTAATTCAAAACTTTTGTGTAAATTATATTTATTTGTAAAGTGAGCGTTATGTATGTATTTTATAAAAGTAATTTACCCTTTAAAGAAAACTAAATATTTAACCATAATAAAAAGTATATTACTTTTTGCAACATTTGTATCAAAAAATGATTGATCAAATTTAAGAAACATATTATATATTACATCTTTGCTTCCAACAAGGCTGCGACCAACCACTTTAAGATCTTGAAAGTTACTGGAAGTAAAAAGATTAAGTTTATAGAGCAAGATAACGATTGACAGATGACTTTAAAGATTGCAAATTATATGAATCAGGGAAGCAAGATAAAGGAAGAAATTCCAAAGAACTGATGTTTGAAGAAAAAAACTAGACGAATAAGAGTTTTTGGAGCATTTAGGAACAGTCACAGAAAATAGATGAGACTTAATTGAATGGCGAGTGACACGAAAATGAATTTTGGTAGATGGAACAAGAGACGCTCTCTCTTTAGAGCAGTGCCCATTATAGTATTTTTAGAAAAAAGAAAGAGAAGCAACATCATGACAATGTGACAATGGTTAGAAATTTGCTGCAAGAGCAGGTCCAACTATGTTTACAATGCGTTTTTGTACCTTGTCTAAAAGAGAAAGGGCATCATTAGAAGATCCGCCCCAGATATGGCAACAGTATTCCATACAGGGACGGATTTGAGATTTATAGAGATTTATAGAGAAAATAGAATATGGAGTAAGGAAGTGTCGAGCTCGATAAAGAGATGCAACCTTAGCAGATGCTAATTTTGCAATGAATTTGATATACGGTTTAGAAGATAATAGGTAGATAATAGGACTCATCTAATACATTACCATTCATAAATATAGGAAGATCTAAACTATTGCGATAACAATTGACCAAAGAAAATTGAGTTTATCTGAAATAAAGTTCACCAGCCCTTGTGAGTTCTCATGCTGTAGCAGAGGTAAGATCCTTTTCAAGCTCAAATACTCCCTCCAAGCAATTAGAGAGTACAGGCTTCTTATCATGACAAGAATAAATGGTAGAGTCGTCAGCAAACAATGCCACCTTAGATGTAAGAATATCTGGAAGATTGTTAATGTAAATTAAAAAGATTATAGGGCCAAGTATTAAACCTTGAGGAACCCCTGAAGTTACAGGGTATGAAGAGTGTTGTCCATCAAGGACAACACTCAATATATATATATATATATATATATATATATATATATATATATATATATATATATATATATATATATATATATATATTCATATATATATATATATATATATATATATATATATATATATATATTTATATATATATATATATATATATATATATATTTATATATATATATAATCATATATATATATATATATATATATATATATATATATATATATATATATATATATATATATATATATATATATATATATATATATATATATATATATATATATATATATATATATAAATATACATATATATATATATTCATATATATATATATATATATATATATATATATATATATATATATATATATATATATATATATATATATATATATATATATATATATATATATATATATATATATATATATATATTATATATATATATATATATATAATAATTTATATAGAAAAAAGGCCTAGATAGTTAAAATAACTAATAAGATAGTTATTACAAGAAAAAATATTACTTACTTTATTCTTTGTAAAAATTTAAGATTTATCATTGACTACATATACTTTCTTTAATTTTTTTTTGGAAAAAGCAAAATTTTGAATCACAGACTTTCAAATTTTGGAGGAGCTGAATGAATTAAAGAAGTTGTTACTAATAAAAATTCATTAGGCATATTACATAAAATAAACTATATTACATAAAATGAACTATAGCCAAAACCATTGTTTTATTTTTTTAAAACCAAAGGCATAAACTAAAATAAATTTTAAGGTTATATACATTTAATCAAATAAAATTTCTTTAATTTAAACAAAATTAAATACAAAAACTACAAACACATTAATTCTAGATTTCTAAATGCATATTTAAATAAATGCAATATGTGTTTTTGAAAAACAAAACAAAAATGAAACATAATATTACCAAATACAAACATGTATTTGACCAAAACATATATATTAACTGACACTTGATGCAGTTGACGCTCCTAAAAATAAAATCTTAATTAACAAGTAAATAAAATTTATGGAAAAGTAAAAAATATTCTTACAAGTATTATTTTCTTAGGATTTTTTTAAATTTTTTTAAAATTTTTCAAGATTTTTTTAAATTTTTTCGTTCAGCTTTAAATTGTATCTAATTGATGTTTAACACTATCTATTTCTAAATTTTAACTAATAATACAAATTCTACTAATTTTAACTAATAATATAATTAACTAATAATAACTAATAATTTTAAATTTTAACAAAACTCATTTTTATTTTTTTTATTGACATATGTTTTGTATTTTTAGCAAAAACAAAATCAGGGTTTACATTATTAAAACTGATGCTAAATGTATGGATTTTAAGGAGACATTTTTCTAATATTTAAAGAGATTTGGTCACGAAAGACAATCTTTTGAAAGAAAAATTAAGCAGAATTAAGGAGAAAATAACTACATTGAAAACAGAATCTTATTTTTTTCAATAAATTTTAAATAAAAACAGAAAAATTATTATAATTTAACATATTACTTATAACCAACCAAAAAGTGTTTGAGAAAAAGTGTTAATTTTATTAAAGTGTATAATCCATTCACTTTAATAAAATTTCTTAGATGATTAAAAAAAAAAATAGGAGAAATTAAGGAGAGTTTTTCATCGGTTACTTAATAAAATGCCATAATAATAACATTCCAACAAGTGATATGTAGTGGTTATTCATATTTGCCACTTTTGGCTACTGCCACTAATAGGTCATTAAGTAAATGACGACCAAAACTGCAATAACCTAAAAAGCCTATATAGGTCTACTGAAATTCTGATTTAAATGTTTTTGCCGTGTTTTATATTTTTTTACTAAATACTAAAACTAAAACCATAAATTTTCAAAAAACCATTATAAAAAAATCATTTAAAAAAAATATTAAATTAGTTCCATCGTTAAATATATTTTTCTTATTCTTATTTCAAGTTGGATAACTTACAAAAAAATAAATTTTATTAAATAATAAATATAAATATTGATTTTAAATTAAAATTATTCATATTGAACTTTTAAAGAATGATAAAAAAGCAAAATTATTTACATCTATCTTCTAAAAGATACTTTTAGAAAATCAGAAAATGAAAGAGTAGGATAAGTAACTAAAAAAATGTCTAATTAAAAAAATTAAACAAGTCATAACAGTTATATAAGAGACAGGTGGGTAGAATATTTCCTTTAGAGTAAAGGAAATTTCTACCCTCCTGTCTCTTATATAACTGTTACGACTAGTTTGATTTTTTCAATTAGATTTATTTTTTAGAGAAAATTTTTGAACTTCACTAATAACTAATTACTTAAGTTAAGTAATTAGTTATTAGCAAAGTTCCAAACCTTAACATTGTAATATTTCAAAAATTAATAGGTTTTCCTTTTGAGAAATATGACTTTGCATGAGATTCTGCGATGTCTTTTAAACAGTCAGAACTTGGTCTTGATAAACTATATCAATAATTATACTTGAAATACTATATCAAGTGCCAAGTATATACTTAGCATATATATATATATATATATATATATATATATATATATATATATATATATATATATATATATATATATATATATATATATATATATATATAATATATATATATATATATATATATATATATATATATATATATATATATATATATATATATATATATATATATATATATATCATATACCCAGTTTTTAATTATTTCTTTTAATATCTGTTTTAATTTCAATATTTGTATTAATATTAACACGAATCTCAAGCAATTAAATGTTTAAAAATATTTATAAATTAGCAAGAACCTGTCTATAAGTCGCTTTTCATTAGGTGTTTTTAAATTTCCTCTTGCACCTTAGGGAAGTTCCAAACCTTGATTTGGCAATATTTCAAGAAGATCATTAACTAATGTACTGGTCCCATTATAGAAAGGATGTTATTAACATTTTCAGTATATTTATCACCAGCACAAATATCTGGTAACATTGGTTGTATCTATAATGCTATTACACCTTATTGTGCTGATTCCCGTGATCCATATAATATTGAACAATGCTTTGATGTATTTTTGCAACCATATTTTGCAACCAATTATAAAAGGATAATCTTTTTGTTTTTTTCTCTATTATATACCATGACAACATCAATCAACATTGCAAATATAAACTGCGTTATTTTAAAGACATCAAATATGAATATTACAAACGAGAATACAGACGTTAGTTTTAATCAAGACAGTTCTTATTGCAACGAAGTATATTGGAATTTAAAATGCCAATTACAAAACGAGTTTCAAGAGGAAAAGAAAGAGCAACAAAACGACGAATTAACCCCGATAGTCCAACACTCAAACAAAGTTGAATGTGAAGCAAAATTGAATGTGCACAAAGTCTGAGAACATTAGTGAAGATCAGGAAACAACAAACAAAGCAAGCCGAACGAATATCGTCGAAATATCTTCGGACGAAAAATGGGTAGAGGAGGAAGAAGAAGTAGCATGTTGCGATAATGTAACAAGAACCGATAGATGCGCAGAATTAAAGGTAGATAATTCAGTAAGTTATTACAATTATTACTTATTAGATAACATGTATTGGTATATTAAATAACACTATAATAAATAATTTTATGAACTACTGTGTTTTAATAAAAATCTTATGAGGGGATTTGACATATACCATGTTATTCATGCAGGACCTCCCACCCACAGTATATGGTATAATCCAAAAGAAACGAGATGTGACGCCTTGGACCTATGCACGAAGACTCACTCCAAATGCAAATATTTCGACGGAAAGGAGTCCGACTACAGCGGAAAGGTCCACACCCATTGATTCCTTGCAACATACGTTATGGACAAAAGAGAACGATCACCAGAGGGAGAGCAACTCCGCATCAGACGAGCATTTTTCCGAGCACGCCAATACCTCTGCAAAGGATGTGCAGACATCAACCGTAAGCGATACGGACACCACTGCACATCCTGCGACGCAAGAATTACGATTAAGCACGTTAACACCGCTGCTTACTACAAAAATAGCGTTGTTTACGTGCTTAAGCGTGATTAGTTACATTAAATCACATATAACATTTGATTTGGACAATATACCAGACGAACAACCTGTTACAATACGACAATCACTTAAAATACACCAAAAACAAAATTTTGCAAATTATTTATTTTCACACAATATAATAAACGCTAGACAATACGATGATGAACTTGCAAATAGCGACGAATTACGTAAACTTGAATTCACAACACAATTAAAAGACTTAGAGGTTATAAAAAAACAATATTCAGACAAATATATTTACAAAGACGAAACATTGACGTTTTAACACCTAGAATAGTTGTTTCAAATAATAAATCTCGTTTAGGTGCTTTAATATTTTTCCTATCTAATATAGCTCTACAAAACCAAATCTCCGTCAACAGGTTAAAACAGTTACTCTGCAACTTCATATTCAATCTTAACCATAAAAAGACTCATTCTTTGTGGCCCTTCTGATTCTGGTAAGACTTTTCTAGCAAATTTGTTATATTCTTCTTTTAGACCGCATGAAATTGGTTATTTCAATTGTCCAACAGGCCCAAATCCATCTTCATTTTTATTACAATCATTGAGTAACTGTTTAGCCTACAGATGTGATGAAATGATTTTCGAGCATCTAGGAGTGATTTAAATAATGAAACAACTATTAGAAAGGTCTAGTACGCTAACAACAGACGTCAAATACAAAGATGCGATGCCAATCGACCCACATCCTACTCTAATCACAATGAATTCATCTTCTAAATACGACATTCTCAAATGGCATCCATCAGAATATCAGGCGTTTGAGAATAGATGTACTATACTCTTCCTAGGAACACCGCTACTCAATATATTTAATGACAAGGAACTCAGGGAAATAAATACCTGTGGACCAGAGTTGTTATATATGTTGAGTATGCATAAACAGGACAAGGACAACGACACTGCAGGGGTATTGGACAAGTTTCAAGACTATATTTTTTTGTAACTTTTATTAATATACAATTTACATAAACTTTTGTTTTTTATCTACGGGTTCTTCGTTTTCGATTAGTTCTACTTTACCAACAAACATAGTACTATAGGCAGGATAAAATATCTTCTGATATGAATTAAGGAAAGTAATCTTAGCATTATTTTTAATACAAGGGTTAGCCATAGTAACAGTAGTATAAGTAGCATCTTTACCAAAGCGTGATTGTTTAATAGTAGGGCGCTTATACAACTCGTTAACAGGTTCAACTCGAGTACAATCATAAGTCCAATCTCTCTCAAATATTTGAATACGATGTCTAAGTCGTAAACGTCCTCTAATAGTTGTAGGCATAACATCTTTACCAATATAAGCAGGATCAATACAAAAATATAAACGCTTACAATTTTTATTTCCACTAAAAGGCATAACTGTAGGTAAATTATTCCAAAAGGTGTTATTAACATTTTCAGTATATTTATCACCAGCACAAATATCAAAATTAGACCGGTTTTTAAACAATACTGACGAATGATCAAATTCATCATATGGTTGCAAAAATACATCAAAGCATTGTTCAATATTATATGGATCACGGGAATCAGCACAATAAGGTGTAATAGCATTGTAGATACAACCAATGTTACCAGTATTATACTGTTCGTAAGGAGATATTCCCTGCCTCTGCAAATACCACCTATCTAACTGTATAGGATAACGGATATTTTTACGTTTATCATCACCCTCTGAAACAATAGAACGAGCAACAAGATTTTTAAGTCCAAAATTAGGCATATGAACATGACCAAAACGATAATTACAAGGATATGTGTTAATAATAGACTAATTCTCATCAAAAAATCCCTGAGCCTTCTGTTTATCAAGAGAGGCAGTGGAATCAATAAACTGACCACCTGGATCAAGTGAGGTATCTGTAAACTTAAATGTTCTTGAGGAAAATGGATCATTGACCAATAACTTAATAGGTTTACGCAAACCAATATCATTTTTCCAAACAATACTATGAATGACCTTTTCAGCTACATTATTCTTCTCGAAAAACCTAGGATCTTTAGTACTAACAACATTAGAAAAACGAGTATTAACGGGTTTACCAGCTTTATCATTAAAAAATAAAGAATTCTCCAACAATTTAACAGAAGGCAGAGGAGCAGGTTTCTTATCAGCTGAACTAAGTTTGAGTTCGACAATCTTGGAGTAATCATCGGAATCCGCTAATGGATACATAACATCAGATATTAATTGATCACCTTCAATATCAAAGAATCTCATACCAATATATGACATCTCCAAGGGTACAGACGAATTCTGAGTTGTTTTAAGTTGATTTTCAACACGTACATCCATAACATTGCATTCAACAGACTTATCAACATAATAAATTCCACCTGTAGCCATATAATATTGATCAGGGTTAGTCCATAGGTTAGGATAATCAACAGGGAAATAATACATTTTCTGAACAATATCATTGGTACATTCGACACACCAATAAATGGATTGTTCAACACAAAATTCATCATAATAACCTTTACTGCAATCAAATCCTCTTTCGATAACGAAATCGGGTGACGCGCTGACTTCGTGATTCGGGGGTTGCTCTGCCATTAGTTACGTGAAAACCTCTCTGCGACCAGCCGTTTCTTCCTTTTGGATGAACAAATATTCTTCTGTGTGTCCGCACCATAGGCAGCTGCTACATCAAATGAATAATTCCCAAACAACTTGTCTAATATAGTCTGACTCTCCTTCATAACACTCCATGGCATTGCATATTTAGGTAAATCATCATAAAACTTAGGAAATTGATACGGTTCAAAACTATATTTATGCAACTGTTTAGCTATTTTAGCTTCTTTAATATAAGGTATTTCTTTAGGATCATATATATCAACTTGTCCAGGTTTAAGTCTCATATAATCAGGTAAATCATCTTGTGGAACAGGTTGATAATCGGGATCGTAATTCCAGCCTTCTACACTCTGAGAAGCAGTACTCATATCAGTAACATTACCCACTTTAGTTGAATTTGAATAAACAGAACTAGTATTAGATGTACTAGAACAAGACCAATCAGAATCAGAATATAACATATCCTCAAATATATTAGTAGGCCTTGTTTTTCCCATTTCTTTTAAAGCAATATACTCAGTTTTACTCATATTATTCTTAGGCAACAACGCTGACTTCAATATTTTACGAACATTAGGCATATGCATGTAAAGAACCGTTTCCTTAGCTAAACCAGCAACAGCTTTAACACTTTTAACTGCACTAACAACACTTTTAGGATTAATAGCACCCGTTAAACCAGTAACAACTGATTCAGCAATACGAGCAATATCTTTATTCTTTAAGTTCTTCTCATTAACACCAAATATTTGATTGTCCCATCCAGGCGCAACCTGCAGAGACTTCTTAGGATTAACTTTATTTTGTTTAAACTGAGCTTGATTCTTGTTGAACCCTTCCGGTATTTGAAAGTAATAATCGTCTCCCATCTGAAAATTGTTCAGTTTCAGTGCATCCACAGATATTCCACAAATCACATGCAAATAAATTATGATCAACACACTCATAATATAAAGATTTACAAGCAGTACGGCACACACCAATCACAATGGGTAACGCTAGCAACATCAAAAACATTTTAATATGTAATTAAACCACACCTTATATACACTTTATAATCGGATTAGCAAGCAACAGTATTACGAAACATTTATAAATTCATTATCGACCCGCTATCCTTTCCATCCATATAACTATGAGATATTATGCCATTTTTATGTTAACAGAAACCATCCCACCGACCACGTGGGATCCCACGTGGTCGGTGGGATGGTTAAAAATTTCATTACCTGCATCAATATTACCACAGTTTTCAAGTAATTGATAACAAAAATAAAAATTAGCTAGAACGTGTCTATTAGTCGTTGTAAAAAGACTTCTTTTATAATTGAAAAAAAACTTATTAAAAATGCGTTACTGCGTTAATGCGTTTTAGGAAGTTTTAGCGCTTGCGTGATTTTACTGATTTTTTTTGATTTAATAAAGCATTCTGGATATTTTTTGGATGAAAAAATTATTGGACGCGAAAAAGACGTTCAAAAGATGTTTAGAACTTAAATGGGACGGACGGGCGCGATTTGAACGTCCTAAGGACGTCTTTTTTACGTCCCGTGCCCACTGGGTATTTATTTAGCAAAATAATTTTTTGCAAGGATTTATTTAGAAATTATTTAAAAAACGTAAATTTTTGTTCATAAATATTAATTTTTAAAATTTATTCAGAAATTATTATGTACGCAATATAGAATCGCCTGAAAGTATTTTTTTAAACAATAAAGTTTTAAGATATATTTGTATAAAAAATGAAAAAAACGACTATCAAGATGGATGCAAAATTCTGCTCAGTAAACGCAAATGCTCTTGTTCATATCATTTTTAGTTTGATTTACCACTGATGGGCCAGTATCGGCCCAATGTCTGTTGTTCTGCTTTGGCAAATCTTTGTTGGACCATTAATGGTATTTTTGCGGATACCATCTCAAGCATTTTTATAAAAGCTCAGCAATGGCCCTGTAACGGCTTCCCAGAACTGGCAATACAATACAATAAATATATATATATATATATATATATATATATATATATATATATATATATATATATATATATATATATATATACATATATATATATATATATATATATATATATATATATATATATATATATATATATATATATATATATATATATATATATATATATATATATATATATATATATATATATATATATATATATATATATATATATATATATATATTTATATATATATATATTGCTTTTTAAATGTGCATAAATCAACTGACAAATAGGGATTGGCGCAATTAAATGTACACTCATCGACTGGAAAATAAAGATTGGGCAATTGAATGTACATACATCGACTGACAAATAGGGATTGGCACAACTAAATGCACATACATCGACTGACAAATAGGGATTGGCGCGATTAAACGTACATGATTTGGGACAGGGTTTGGGTTTGGGCAAGGGATAAATCAGAAAATGATGCGCTGAGCATTTTTTAACAGTTTTGCATTAAATTATTGATAGAAACCAGGCTTTTTTAAAATCATCTTTGAAAAAAATTTTAATATAACCGGGAATTAAAAAAATGGCGAATATTAGCGTTTTTAAGTGCAATTTTTTAAACTTGAAGATCGAATTAGAGCATTTTCTGTTGATTTTCAGACCTATGTTTTTATACAATTCCTTATCAGCATAAAATTCTCTATTATAATCAGAAATAAAAAAAAGGGAGGGGGTGGGAGAAACTGCAGTGGCGTCGAATTTTCAAGAGAACGAAAACATGTTCAGACGACTTTCCTGAACGAGCATTATCGTTTAAAAATCGATATTTTTCGTTTAACATGGGCTACAATGCTCAAAGTCTTTGAGCATTGTAGCCCATTTTTTAAAAAAGTTGTATTGTTTACATTTAATAATAATTTTCTTTGACAAAGACGTATATTAAATGTAAATAATACAACTTTTTCAAAAAATGGTCCATTAAATTATGTTGAACTTAATGTTAAACGTTGTTTTATAAAAGAGCATCAAGAATTAAAAAAGGAAATTGATAATTTTAAAAAAGAACATTAGCACGAAATAAAAAAAATAAAGGTTTATATGAAAAATTAACTTCAACCACATCAGTTATTACTATGAAACCAGACAAATTTGTATATAAACATAATCCAAACAAATCGTGTTATTGCAATTTACTTGTATACAAACATTTATTTTGAAAATGATAAATCTTGCAACTTTTATACTGGCTTTACATCTGTCAATGTGTTTCACCAGTTAGTGCGGTATCACCATTAATCAAAAGAAGATAAAGTGATATTAAAAAAAAACATCTACTTCTGTTTTTTGAAATTTAAAAAAATCTTTAACTACTTGGACCAAAATAAAATGTAATGCAGCAAAGATGAATTTTTAAT